GGACCCTGGACTTAGAGTTTATAAAGTATCTTTTCCCAGTTGAAACATAAAGTTTGTGTCAAAGAAAGAGAACTGTTAACAATAAACATCATTTCGAGTTAACTGTTGTGTTCTGGTCCTTGGGAGTTCCAGTTTCCCTAAAGGAGGGCAAGAAAGCAATCCCCTGGGGAAAGCAGTCACGTCCATGCCTCTTTCTCTATAGCCCCAGGCGCGACGGCACACTGTTGAATCAAGAGAGTTGTAGTTTCACCAAAACCAAGGTTACAACAACATCTGAAAAAGAGATTTAAAGATTGACTTAAAACTAACCTTAAAAACTGTGGCATTAACACAGAGAACTGGGAAGACCTGGCCCTTGAGCACTCTAACTGGAGGTCAGCTGTGTTCAGCAGTGCTGTGGAATTCAAAGTAGCATGAATGGAGGGCAAAAGGGAGAAACGTGCCAAGAGGAAGACACATCAAGCCAACCCTGACCAGGACTGTCTTCCACCTGAAACTAATGCCCTCACTGTGGAAGAAGGAGCCTCCAATGGTGCAATGGGTTAATGCCTTTTGCTGGCAGGACTGCTGACCAAAAGGTTGGCGGTTCGAATCCAGGGAACAGGGTGAGCTCCCATCTGTCAGCTCCAGCTTTTCATGTGTCCCCTAGGCAACGTCATTGAAGATGGCCAATTCTCTCACACCAGAAACGACTTGCAGTTTCTCAAGTCGCTCCTGACACACACACATACCCACACACAAAACTGTGGAAGAACATGTGGATCAAGAATATGGCTCCACAGTCATCTACGGACCCACTGCTAAGACACTACACTTGGAAGGCCATCATATTCAGACAACGATTGCTTAAGTAAGTTTATGATATCTTTATTCTTCTCTGCCAAAGAGTGCTGATGCCCCACCAAGCCCCTGCTCCTAGGACTCCATAGTACTGATCCATTACAGTTAAAGTGGTGTCAGATAGCATTAATTCTATAGTGTAGATTCACCTAATGATGCCTACTAGGGCAAACGGTAGGCCAGAATGGCAAATCCCTATATGATTTGCAATACATTGGTAAAGAGTTCGTAACTGTTGAACAACAGTATTGACAAAATTGTCTTATCTAAATGAAGCTGCTGACATTATGCCCTAAATAAATCCAATTGCTGGTCTTAAATAAGAGTTATGAATGCCACTCCATTGAATAACTTGTTTTTAATTTATGGCGCCCCGAAGGCAGCCCTATTACTGGAGTTTCTTGGCAAGATTTGTGCAGAGGAAGTTTCCCTACTTTTTCCTTGGAGGTTAGAGTGAATGTGACTTGTCCAAGGTCAACAAAAGTGCAACTACACTGTAGCATAAATATACAGCAATTATATCAAACTTTGGCCCTCTGGGTGTTTTGGACTTCAACTCGCACAATTAAGCAACTGAGAGGGAAAAGGAAAGGGCCCGAGGCTGTTAGGAACTGTGGAAATTATAGTACAAAACACCAGGAGGGCCAAAGTTTGCCCATGCCTGATATATATCTATTAAACACATTAGGTTATTTATTTATTTTATTTTTATTTGTCATGTCAGAAGTTAACCCAAGGTACAGTTGTAATGTATTTAAAACACAAAGTAAAAAAAAAACCCTGGCATTATACTAAATGTCCTTTGACTAGTAGCTGGCCACTTGGAGTGCCTTTGGTGTTGCTATAAGAAGGTCCTCCATTGTCCATGTGGCAGGGCTCACATTGCATTGTAGTAGGTGGTCTGTGGTTTGCTCCTCTCCACACTCGTATGTCGTGGATTCCACTTTGATGCCCCATTTCTTAAGGTTGGCTCTGCATCTTGTGGTGCCAGAGTGCAGTCTGTTCAGCTCCTTACAAGTCACTCAGTCCTCTGTTTGCCCAGGAGGGAGTTTCTCATCCAGCCTCAGCTACTGATTGAGTTTCCGAGTTTTAGCCTGCCACTTTTAGACTCTCACTTGCTGATGTGTTCCTGCGAGTATCTCTGTAGATCTTTGAAAACCATTTCTTGATTTGAGGCATTGGCTTGTTAGCTGATATCTTAACAGGGGATGGGCTGGAAATGTCACTGCCTTGGTCCTTTCATTACTGGCTGCTACTTCCCAGTGGGTGTGAGGTGGTTCAATACCAACTAAACAGTATAATTTCTGCAGTGGTGTGGGGCATAGACATCCTGTGATAATGTGGCATGTCTCATTAAGAGCCACATCCACTGTTTTAGCATGTTCCACAGGGGGGGGGGGGGGGGGGGGGGGGCTTGAGGGGCTTCAGCCCCCCCCCCCAAATTCTCATGGTGGTTCACGAAAAGGCCTTACTGGTGCATTATTTAAACTGTTATGTTTATTCATATCATGATCTGATCACCATACTCAATATATCCCATATGCATGGGGGTATTGGGGTAAGGATACAAAAGGTTTGCTAGGCTAGACCCTCTTTCACTCAGACTCAGCCCCCCCGAATCACCCCCCCCCCGAAACCCCCCCTGAAAATTTTTTAGCCCCCCTCCGAAACGAAATCCTGGCTACGGGCCTGCATGGTGCGATATGTTCTACACTGGTCATGTGTAATCAGTAGCAGAGTAGCAAAGCAAAAGAGCAGATGTCTTCACTGTGTCTGATTGTTATCCCCAGGTGGTTCCAGTCAGCTTTTGTATGATATTTCAGAAGATAAGACTTAAAGTTCCAAAAAGAATAAATGTCAACCTGGAGTTTGCAAAGACCAAGCTTGAAAGGCACTGAAGGACCCAATGGAAGAGCCAGACGACTCCATAATCCTGTGATGGTGAACCTATGACACACGTGTCAGCACTGACATGCGTAGCCATTTTCGATGACATGCGGCCGGATGCAGCTACATACAGAGAAGTATGGGGCTGCATCCCGAGAAGGACGTTTCATCCTTGGCTCTTGCATGGCCAGGTGCAGTAGCCGAGGATGAAACATTTGCTGTAGTGTAGTGTAGACACTCTGTGCTGCAAGTCTGTAGGCCAAAACAACAAAACTCTGGCACAGAGCATCTAGTTCTGGGACTTCCTGTTATGGCGTTAGGGGATCTTTGACTTTACTTCTGGCTGGTGAAGTACACCGGCAGGGCTGGTGAAGTACTCCGGCAGGGAGCAGCTTTTAGCACACTGAAAAATATAGCAATGGCTTTACTGATAATTTTTCCCTCTATGTACTTTTGTGAGGCCTTATAAATAATATCAAAACCAACAAAAGAAACAGATTGACAAATGAAGTTACTAGCTCTTGCTTGGCTTGAAATGTACAAAATACCAACCTTCATTGGAAGATTTAGCCAATAAAATTCAGCAACAAAAAAGTCACTAATAGGGAGGTTAGTTAAATAATTGCCCCTTCCCCTCATTTATCTTAGTTCACGGCACCCCACACGTTAAATAATATCAAGACCAACAGAAGAAACAGAATGACGGATGAACAAAGTCACTAAGCAGTTAAATTAAATAATTAATTTTGGTTTATTAAATAGAGTTTTATTAGTGATAGTGTGATAGCTGGGTCCTGAAGCTGAGAGCATTACGGAGATGCCGCAAAGGTGGCTGTGAATAAGGGAAGAGAGGGGGCAGAGTGAGAGCGGGGAAAGTAAAGGAAGGATAGAAAGGAGGGGACGCTTAGGGTAAGGGTTAGGGCAAGGTTTAGGGTTTGGGTTAAGGGTTACAGTTAGGGTAAGGGTTATGGTTAGAGTATGATTTAGGGTTAGGGTTAGGGCAAGGGTTTGAGTAAGGGGTTAGGCTTAGGCTTACAGTATGGTTCAGGGTTAGTGTTAGGGTTTCACCATTAAAGAACTCTTACATTCCTTCTATATTATCTGTCTCCAGCCTGACTTACATTAGCTAAGTCTCTCTTGCGCAAACAGCACTCCTGAAGGAGTTTTCCGGGCTGTAGAAGATTTTTGGCCATTCCAGAACCCTCGGCCATAAGGAGGTTTGCTTCTTACGGTTATCATTTTTAAAATTACCCCTCTATTCTGCTTTGGTTAGACTACACCTGGAATATTGTGTCCAATTCTGGGCACAACAATTCAAGAGAGATAGTGACAAGCTGGAATGTGTCCAGAGGAGGGCGACTAAAATGATCAAGAGTCTGGAGAACAAGCCCTATAAGGAGCGGCTTAAGGAGCTGGACATGTTTAGCCTGAAGAAGAGAAGGCTGAGAGGAGCTATGATAGCCATGTATAAATATGTGAGAGGAAGCCACAGGGAGGAGGGGGCAAGCTTGTTTTCTGCTTCCATGGAGATTAGGACAAGGAACAATGGCTTCAAACTACAAGAGAGGAGATTCCATCTGAATACGAGGAAGAACTTCCTGACTGTGAGAGCCGTTCAGCAGTGGAACTCTCTGCCCCTGAGTGTGGAGGAAGCTCCTTCTTTGGAAGCTTTGAAACAGAGGCTGGATGGCCATCTATCAGGGGTGATTTGAATGCAATATTCCTGCTTCTTGGCAGAATGGGTTTGGACTGGATGGCCCATGAGGTCTCTTCCAACTCTTTGATTCTATGAGAGATGCGGCATCTGCGTAATGTGCGATGCTTCCGGACCCAGCTATCATACCATTACCATTATTTATTAAAATTATACATTTTTGTTATTTAAACTATAAAAATTGTGAAATTATTGGTTGTTTTTTTCTCTGGAAGAGAATGCTTAGTTTTGCTTAGTTTTTTTTTGGCGAACTTTGACACACCAAGCTCAAAAGGTTGCCCATCCCTGCCATAATCAGCTCTTATTCTGTCTGCTCGTTTCCTCTTTCTTAGTTCCTCAAAGAAAAGCATTTGTCAGTTAAAGCGGTATCGAAGTGTTCTCCTATTCTGCAGCGTGGATAGTCTTCCAAGGCAGGGAGTGCTTGCTGAGCCTTGGCTTCTTCCAAAGGCGCATCTGGAAGGTTCCCCTCTGTCTCCCCTTCTCTCTCTCTCTCTCTCTCTTCTCAGCGGAGAGCCCTTCCCTCCCCTTCCCTCCCCTTCCCTCCTTGGCTGCCCAGGGGAGGAGCCCAGGCAAAGGGGCGGAAGCGCAAACAAGAGCCCAAGGCCAGTCCCTGTGTGCTTGGAGTTTGCGCTCTGAGGCGCAAAAGGAGCCGCGTCCTGTGCCGAGACGGTAAGCAGGCAAAGCGGGAGGAGGCAGGGAAGGAAGGAAGGAAGGGGCTTGGCAGGGAAAGAAAGAGGGGCTTCGCGGGCCGTCAAAGCGAACCTCCTTCTGGGCTAAAGGCTGGAGCGGAGGCGGAGAAGGGCTCCCGACAGAAGAAGAGGCGCCTCGGAAACTTTTCTCCGTCGCTTTGCTCCTCCGAGGCTGCCCTGGGCTGGCAGGTTAAGAGGCAGTGCGCCTTCCGAGGGGTCATCAAAGCCACAGCCTTGGAGAGCAGTCTGCAAAGGGTCTGAGGGGGCCTCTGCACTGTAAAACTAATCCAGTTRCAGACCTCGTTAACTGCAGTGGCTTAAGGCAAAGGGGCCGTGGAAGATGAGTTCTACACCAGTGTTTCTCAACCTTCCTAATGCCTCAACCCCTTCATACAGTTCCTCCTGCTGTGGTGACCCCCAACCATAAGAATATTTTCATTGCTACTTCATAACTGTCATTTTGCTACTGTTATGAATCGTAATGTAAATATTTGATATGCAAGATGTATTTTCATTCACTGGGCCAAATTTGGCATAAATACCCAATACCCCAAATTTGAATGCTGGTGGGGTTGGGGTGGGGATTGATTTTGTCATTTGGGAGTTGTAGTTGCTGGGATTTATAGTTAACCTACAATCAAATGGCGCTCCATGCAGTCATGCTGGCCACATGACCTTGGAGGTGTCTACGGACAATGCTGGCTCTTCGGCTTAGAAATGGAGATGAGCACCACACCCCAGAGTCAGACATGACTGGACTTAATGTCAGGGGACTACCTTTACCTTTTTTTTTTTTTTACAATCAAAGAGCATTTTGAACTCCACCAACAATGGAATCGAACCATTCTTGGCACATCTTGAATTTTGGAGTTGTAGTTCACCTTCATCCAGAGAGCACTGTGGACTCAAACCATGATTGATCTGGATCAAACTTGGCACGAATACTCAATGTGCCCAAATGTGAACACTGGTGGAGTTTGAGGAAAATAAACCTTAACATTTGGGTGGGATGTATAGTTCACCTACAATCTGAACCCCACCAATGATTGAATTGGGCCAAACTTCTCAGACAGAAGCCCCATGATCAACAGAAACTACTGTTTTCTGATGGTCTTTGGTGACCCCTTTGGCACTCTGGCACTCCCTTGTAACCCCCCCCCCCCCGGGTCCGGACCCTCAGGTTGAGAAACACTCATCCACAAGGTCTTTAGCCTCTTCTGCCAAAGAGTGTGCTACAGCCAGGCATGGGCAAACTTCATCCTTCCAGGTGTTTTGGACTCCAATTCCCACAATTCATAACACCCAGCGGTTAGAAACTGGGAGTTGGAGTTCTAAATACCAGGAGGGACAAAGTTTGCCCATGCCTGTGTTACATCTAACTTCAAATCCCAGGGTTCCGTAGCATTGAGCCAGGGCAGCTCAACTGGTGGTCACACTGCATTCATTCTACTGTGTAGCATATGCACCCCCAGAGAAAGAAATTAATAGCAGAAGCTTTTGGAGAGGAAAGTTAGCAGAAAACGTCTGCTGCAGGTTCAACATCCCTTATCTAAAATGTTTGGGACTGGGAGTGTTTTGGATTTTGGAGTTTTATTTTTGGATATTGGAATGCTTTCCTTGGAGTACAGGACCCAAAGCTAAACACACATTTATTTATATTCCATATATGCCTAATACACTATAGCCTGCAGGTCATTTTACACACAATATTTTTAAACACAATTATGCATGAACCACTAGAAAGCAAAGGTGTTGCTTTCACAGGCACCCACATGAACAATTGTGGATTTCAGAGTATTTTAGATTTTGGAACTTCAAATAAGGGATGTTCAGCTTGTATCATCTTCTTTCTCTCAGGGTGCATCTACAACCAGGCATGGATGTAGCCGCTTAAGTGGCTGAGGGAGGAAAGAAAGGGCCCTGAGGCTGTTAGGAATTGTGGGAGTTGAAGTCCAAAACACTTGGAGGGCCAAAGTTTGCACATGCCTGATCTACACAGTCAAGTGAATTCAGTTTGACTTCCATGGCTCAATATGCTGGAATCATGGTGCTGTACCATAGTTTTATAAAGTTTTTCAAGATCTATAGCAGATCCCTCTCCCAACTCCCAGGAGCACATAGCCTTGAGCCATGACAGCTATAGTGATGCCAGACTGCATTCATTCCACAGTGTGGATGCACATTTAGTCTCCAAGGGGTTATAAGACCCCTTTGCATGTAATCAAAGAAATAACCCTACAGCACTGTGTTCCCATTTTCCACCTTGAGTTAACCCTCTTTTGAGTTCTGTTTGGAATTCATTTCTTCTCTGATTTTATACACACACATCAACGCTTCACTTTCTCCTAAAAGCAAGAAAGTCTTTTAAAGAGGAAAGGCACAAACAGTCTCATCCTAGAGCCGATCTTTCCCTTTTTGTTATTTAAGGAACTGAGAAAGAGAAAATAAATGCAGCTTTGTTTTATTACAGCATTTCTCAACCTGGGGGTCGGGTATTCCAGTATTTTCTGTTAGTCATGGGAATCCTGTGTGCCAAGTTTGGTTCAGTTCCATCGTTGGTGGAGTTCAGAATGCTATTTGATTGTAGGTTGACTTTAAATCCCAGCAACTACAACTTCCAAATGACAACATCAACCCCCCAACCCCAATATATTGGGAATTTGTGCCAAATTTGGTCCAGTGAATGAAAATACATCTTGCACAGCAGATATTTACATTACTATTCATAACAGTAGCAAAATGACAGTTATGAAGTAGCAACGAAAATAATTTTATGGTTGGGAGTCACCATAACATGAGGAACTGTATTAAGGAGTTGTGGCATTAGGAAGTTGGGAACCACTATTTTATTTAGAACTGGGAAGCCTTGACTATTAGGTTGGCTCCTTTTTATCCCTTTCCAGCTCCTACTCTGCAAACTTTCATTTCTCGGCAGGACTATTAACTGTTTTGCAACCTTTCAGTTTGAAATGGTGCAAGCAGTGTGAAGATTTTTTAGAGTGATAAGCCCACATTCAAAACAGGTGAAGAATTGTTTGCTGGTTCTATTTCCTCCTCCTTGTCCAGACTTTTATTAACTGGGCAGGTGCCAAATGGAAAAATAGGAACTTCCACAAAAAAGATCTTTATAAGAATGAAGCCTATAAAGAGATTTCTTCCTCTGCCTTCTAGACATGAGATTCTTATACTTTGAATAATAGCACAAACAACAAACATATCACACACAAAAAAAATTAAATGTGCAACTTCTGCCAAAAAATTGTGGTACCCAACTTGTCTTTTTCTCAACAATTTAATGCATTTAAAGTCAAATTGATGCTGGGCTTCTTCTTGAATTTCTAATGCAGCTGATATTGTTCTCAAGGAAAGATCAATGGAACAGAAGAAAAGGAAGGTGATTCTGGCTAAAAGATCCACAATCAAGATCTTGCAGTTTGGCTAGTTCTTGCTTATTTTACTTATTTTTCAAAGTTCCTTTTTATTATTCCATACAATGGGTTGTTGTAGGTTTTTTTGGGCGATATGGCCATGGTCTAGAGGCATTCTCTCCTGACGTTTCGCCTGCATCTATGGCAAGCATCCTCAGAGGTAGTGAGGTCTGTTGGAACTAGGAAAAAGGATTTATATATCTGTGGAATGACCAGGGTGGGGCAAAGGACTCTTGTCTGCTAGAAGCTAGGTGTGAATGTTTCAACTGACCACCTTGATTAGCATATAATGGCCTGACAGAAAACATACAAGAACATCTTATCACCTCTCAACAAAAGTTTGCTCCAGGCACTGTCGTACTTTTGCTGAGATGCCCAGTGCTTTCAGTTGTATAGCTTTGCCTTTTCTCTCAGGTACAGAAAAGCAAATAGGCTTCAAATAAATAATTCATCATGTAGGCTATAACCACATCATTTGCCTAACTGAAGTTCCACCTTAAATTTTAGGTGCTTTTCATGCCATGCTTTGGTTTCATGTTACAGTCTGTGGCACCTCTAAGTCTTTCCAAATAGTTAAAACAGAAGACAGCTTCTACTCAGGCAATATTACAATATTTTATCTGATATGATGTTTGAGTACTGGACAACAACAAAGACATTTTTCCCGGTTTCAAGAAATTTACTGCTGAAATATTTCACTTTCAGATTATGGGCATGGGTTACATTAGTTTTTGTGTGATCAGTACTTTTTGGCAAGAATGAATTCAGCAAGACTGAATTGAAAAGTTATCCTTGTTCTGTTTATTGAAACTTTTCGAATTGCAGTAGGCACATATAATGTGAATGGCCTGTTGATGGTCTTGAGTAGATCCATTGAATTAATTGGTTATAAAAATGTTGATTCTCCACTCAAAAACTGATTAAGGGAGACTGCTCTTCATTAATATTATTATATGTTCAAAATTGATGCAATATGTAGTTATTCTACCAATAACAGCAACATCAGTTATGTAAAAAATATTATCCCTTCCACATTTGCTGGGGTAAGGGATGCTGGACCACTGTGAAAATGGGAAAAATCTTTTCCCGTTTTTTACCTTGCATCTCTCTGTGAATCTCTAGGACCTCCAGTGCCTCATAGAATCACACTGGAGTACTGATAAATGCCAAAAAGTGTTATTTCTTTGAGTCTCTAGCTCCTCCTGTACTAGTTTATGATCAGCTTCAAGTGGAATTTAAACACTAAGTCGCCTGAAGGTTGTCATGAACAGAGTGCTGAGGAGAGGAGCATTACTAACTTTATGCCAAACTAATTATTGTGTATGTGTGTTCCGTATCCTGAGTAATCATTAAACTTGCCTTACAGATATCTCATTCCTGGTTTGACCTGGAGTGAACACCATGAGCAATTACAGCGTATCTCTGGTTGGGCCGGCCCCTTGGGGTTTCAGGCTTCAAGGGGGCAAGGACTTCAACATGCCTTTGACCATCTCTCGGGTGAGCCAATGCTGCTTTTTCCCCCCTCCTCCATCCAAAATGCATTTTGTAAGATATTTTCTACATCAAGTTCTGCCTGGAGCCAGTGAAAATGAATAACATGATCTAATTGACAACATGCACAGACATACATCATTGTTGAGTTAACCTTGAAAATCCAGCTGAGTTTTGAGAGTATGGGAAATGCCCCACCTGCTCTGGTAACAGGGATCTCCAAATCTGAAATGTTTTAAGATAGTTATTAATTAAAAGTTTTTTCTATGACTTTGATATGCAGAGTAGGGCTTGTATTTCATTGGTGAATATGTTTTTCTTCATGTGAGTTTGAGCTGCAATGTAGCACGATAATAGTTTGATCTAAATTAGTGTCTTTTAGCACATGGCTCATCAAGATGTGGCCCATGGACTTGTGCCAGGTTGCAAGCCACTAGTTGCCAGATGTGGGTGAGAGAAATACTTATTGTTAGTGGATGTAAGTAGAGTACATGCAGTCCCTGAGTTACAAACAACTCATAGTTACAAATGATGGAAAGACAACAGGAAGTGAGAGAAATATAGCCCCGAGAAAGGAAATCAGTCTTGAAGACTCAACTAAAGCTTTCTCACCAATTGTTGTTTCCAAAATAAGCCATTTTTTTCAAAATCCAATGATCACAGGGACAGAAAGTGAGGTGAAATATATATTTAGCTGGAGTTACACTTATTAAATGTATCTGTTATGACTTACATGCAAATTCAACTTAAGAACAAACTTATAGAACCTATCTTGTTTGCAACTTGGGGATTGCCTGTATTATGAGATATTAGAAAACAATAATTGCTGATCCCACACATGAGATAGTTTGGAAAGTACTGTCATAAAGGACACTGTAGTCCCAATATTGCAAAAAAACTATAACCAGGGCCTTGGTTCAACACAACCTCTGATTTCTCTAAAGCGAAATGCCTTCAGCAAAATATGAAGAGGAAACTGCTGCAACAGTGGGGTCCGTAATCTAATTTGTTAGGTGCTAATGGTGCCTTGCATCATTTCCTCTCTTACACTGGTCCTTACAGAAAAAAATGTTGTGGGGATTGCTCTGTTGCTTGGGATGAGGAAAATGAATGTGCCTTGTGATAGGATAGTTCTGTGGTTTCCTAACCCAGAACATAGCTTCCTGTTACTGTTTCAGTCTAGCATACCTCTTTTTGCAGTTTGTTTCCATGAAAAACAAAAAGGTATACATTATCTTGGATTCTTCTATTATTGCGCCTGAACTTTACATATTTTGCATCTGTAGCTTCCTTGAGTCAAGAAACATTTGGGTTTTTATTAATAGAGCCTCCAATCCTATATAATGAACTAGTTATACATTGATTTATTTTGCTGCTTAGAATTCAAAGAATATGCAGAGCCTTTAGATGAATTCAACTCAAAGAAATTACAGTGTGGTTGGGTGGTTGTAAAATATTAGAAATGATGTCAGTTCATTAGTTAAGGTCAGTTCAGAGGTTCCCTAACATTAACTTTTGCAAAAACGCACATGTCAGTAAACTTAACACACAGCTGTGTGGATGCCCAGAAGTGCTGTCAGGGCTATATTGTATCTTCGAAGATGGATAGGACAGGTCTTTAGTGCCTTTTTATGGATAGCTATAGGAGGACAGATGGGTGAATATTTATTAGTACAAAGCTTACTTGTGCCCTTGATTTTTCTTTTGAACATACTAGGAGCTTATGTTCACACTTTTTAAGAATTAGGGCAGATTTTTGTTGCCTAGAATAGCTTAAAACTTTACAAAAAGTAAAGCTTAAAACTGCTAATATTGTAGTGATTTGTACTACTCTGCATAGAATGCTTATGAACTTTGGATATTATTTTAAACCTCTCCCATTTACATTGCAAAAATAACATAAATGTGATGATCTCCAAATTAATCTAGAATAAATAGTAGTTCCTAGCATTACAGATTCTCAGGACCCTTCCACACAGCCGTATCTCACAGAATAACAAGGCAGAAAATCCCATGTTATCTGAGTGCGGACTCAGATAATCCAGTTCAAAGCAGAGACTGTGGGATTTTCTGCTTTGATATTCTGGGATAAAGGGCTGTGTGGAAGTGCCCTCAGACTTCCACATATATAATATCTTTTTGATTTTGAGGTTCTCAGCTCAGTCTATAACCTGTTGGGAATTTTTGTCACACAGCCTATCTTTGAAAAGTGAGCTGCACTGAACCCATTCTCTCTCTGTGTTAATAGTAGGATTCAGTAGTCTCCTGTCATTATGTTATTAATATAACCTCTACACCCCATTTAGGTTTTAGGTAATGACTAGCATACATCCCTTTGTATGGTGTGCATTTTGGTCTGGAATTAGTGTCCTTCATGCTGGTATGTTGATCAATTGCTTCTCTGATAATAGAAGGACATGATGTTGTGTTGTTGATACAATGGGACAGAGAGTACAGTGCAGCAATCTTCTCTTCTAAGTATTGCCAGAGGTTTCAGCTAATTAAATGCTGATAAAGAAATGCATGAACAAAGGAGCAGAGCTGTTTATGTGCCCTTTACAAAAGTCCTGCTGTCTGTTGTGACCTTCTTGGGTTTGGGGCAGTCATGCATGCAATTCGTTCTGGACTGTGAAGAGAGAGTTATTTTTATGGCCTTTGTATTGTGGGCTGGCATCACAACACTGCTGCATGCAAGGTAAGTTTAAAAATACTTTTGAGCAGCACTTTAAAAACAGTTGCTAAATAGAAACTACCTTCTAATGGATTTATTCTTGGCGAGAGCCTCCATAAAAGCAAATGTCACATTCAGCAACTGCCCAAAGAAAGTTCCTTTCATGAGAACGCATCTGCCTTGCGCCAACAAATTTAGTAGAGTTCGTAACTACTTATTTGAAGTGGAAATAATGATTTCACTTTTGGGATTTAGGGCAAAGTATGCTCCAATGAGTAGGGACAGCAAGAAGCTTTGATCTGCGCTAATTGCATGCTATGCAACTTTATTAAAAATGTTGTGGCACTTTACTTCCACACTTTCCATAGTAAGCCTGCTATTTTCAGCTCACTGTAGAGTTCAAGGAAGAGGCTGGATCACTTGGAGACATAGGATAAGATCTACAAGGCTTGTGGGGTTGTTTTTGATGTAATTAGTAACATCTGGGCTGGAAGAAGTTTGGTAAAATACAGAGAGGAAAGAAGAAAGGAAGGAAAAGAAGAGAGAGGCTTAGAAACTACATAATGCAATATAAACATACCAGGGAATAAAATGGTATACTCTCAAAAGAATGTTTAAAATATAAATGACATTGCATGCCATCATAGATCTTCAACAAATGCACAATGTTTCTAGATCAGACTTTTTTAAGAGAGTATTTATTCTGATTACTAACCAATCCTCTTGAAGTGGTGATTAATGTGATGGTTGGGTGTCTGGCTGGGACACTGGTAGGACAGAATTTGAATTTGAATTTGTCAACCATATGCAATAAGCCTTCAGTGTTCACAGTGAGATGCGTTCTTGAACTTACTGTGGAAACAGAAACCATGGACAACCATGAACTATGGAAATAAATGATTTCCATTCAAAGCAACCATAGAATATGGAGTCACATTACTTTCTTTTTAGTTAATTATTTAGCCTTTTGTGTTGGATAAGAAGGAAACAGCTGTGTTTAAACATTACCATACAAACAACTTATTATTTCTCCCTTATGATGACACACAACATTTCTGACTTATGGTGATCCTAAGGTGAATCTATCATAGAGATGGTGTATTGCAAGAATTTGTTCAGAGGAGGTTTGCCTTTGCCTTTCTCTGAGACAGAGATAGTTGGTTTCCATGGTCAAGCAAGGATTTAAACCCTGTTGTACCAGCATCCCTGTGGAACATACAAGCTACTATATTTGTCAAATAAATTGAACACATAAGGGGAGATCTGGAGAAATGTTTCTCTGCATTTCTCCACCTCAGAACTTGAATTCATTTTGTTTCCCTTTACAATACATATCTCCTATAATCAAGGAGAGATTCCACTTAACATTGGGAAGAACTTCTTCACTGTACAAGCTGCTCAACAGTGAAGAGAACTCCGTAAGCCAGTGGTTCCCAACCTTTTTTTGACCAGGGCCCACTTGACTGGGGCCCACCTTGACCATGTTCCACTTTGACAGCGGCCCCACCTTGACCGCAGTCCACTATGACCGGCACCCACCTTTATATATATATATATATATATATATATATATATATATATATATATAAAATCATCTTTATTGAAAGTTTCATTTTGTGACATACAGTGCAAGTAAATTGAAGAAAATTAATAATAAAAAAAAAAAAGAAAGAAAAAGGAAAAAGAAAAAGAAAAAGAAGAGAAAGAAAGAAAAAGAAGGAGGAAGGAAAAGAAAAAAAAGAAGAAAAAAGAGGTATAGAAATAGTAAAGATTAAAAATCCCATGGAGACAGCTGGAATAGACCGGCGCCCACCTTGACTTCAATCCAGTTTGACCAGGGACCACTCACCAACATTAGTACCGAAAGGGGCAGGGCTGGTCAGCTCTACAGAAAAGAGCATAAATTAATTAAATAAATAAAAAAGAGGAAGGAGGTTCATGGACCAGATTTTCGTTCTCATGGTCCACTGTTGGGTCACGGCCCACAGATGGGGAACACTGTTGTAAGCAGAAGTTGGATGACCATATCTCAGCAGTGCTTTAGTTATGTATTCATGAATCACAAGGAGTTGGTCTGGTTGACCTTTGCAGTCTCTTCCAAATTTGTGATTTAGCACTAAGTGATTTCCTGCATGAACAATTTAACTGCTGAAAGTTTGATTCTTCTCTTTTAAGATATAACTTTTGTAAATACTTTGATAATATAAAATCTTGAGTCTGTTCTTCTTTTACTTTTGCATGTCTTCCATTTTCCCTTTCCCCTTCTCATTCACACATGGAACATGTAGACTTTGGACATAGTATTTTGTATGTGTAGTTTACATATTACCCTAAT